GTAGAGCTGAACACAGAAACAGCTTTAAATCTACAAGTTATTGTGATTCCAGAGATGTGACTCCTGCAGTTTAATCCTGAAGTGAATAACAACTAATTCCTCAGAAAAAGACCTTAGTTACTAAAAAAGGAGCTGAAGGAGTGAAAGTGCTGAGACCTCATGAGTTTCTCCTGTGAATCATAAAAACCAAGTTTCTGACAAAGACTAGGTTTTCCAAGTCTTTAAAGACTTGTTCAAGTGTAAATGACTTTCTGCAGGAGCCGGGATTCAAACTACCAACCCTGTGTTTCCCCACCGGCTACCGTCAACCCTGAACCTGCACTTCGGCCAATCAGACGGCCTGTTGTTGCTCCACATTCCTCGGCGCTGAAAAAGTCGCTTTAAGTCGACAAGAGTTCATTTTCAGACGCTTATGTTTGTGTTTTTGTTCGTTATCAATCCACCAGAGGTCCCGAGGATGACAAATGGGTCCTGTCAGGGCGACGCCAGTCATAACAACACACACACACACACACACACACACACACACACACACACACACACACACACACTTATGTTTTCAGGCATTTAGCTGATGTTCTTATCCACTGCAGCTTACAATGACTGATGGACTGATGTACACACACATATTGTATGCTTTATGTGTGTGTGTGTGTGTGTGTGTGTGTGTGTGTGTGTGTGTGTGTGTGTAGCAGAGGGGTGGGAAAGCTTGGGGTCGTGGATAACAAGTCAGACCTAGAAATACAATGAGCTCGGCTGTAATGTGTCTTATCTACACACACACACACACACACACACACACACACACACACACACACACACACACACACACACACACACAGTGAATTAAAGAGGAAGACAGCAGGAGTTGCTGAGCTTACAGTGGGACGACCAGTAACAATAATGGTAATAAATGTACTACTACTGATAATAATAATAATAAAATTAAATAATAATGATAATAATACTAATAGTGATTTGTATTGTTGTAGAAAGCAGATATTCAGGTGACTGACCACACCAGGGTTTTAACTGCAGTAGAACTCGTCTGTGAGAATTTACTGTTAAAAACAACAATGACCTACAGACGCCGTCCTCATCAGACCAACAACACCCGTTTGTTCGCATCACTTGTCCCCCAACAAGCGGCCCCTTGTAGCGGTGAGGGTAACGCCCGTCCTCTCTCTGCAGTGAGGGGCGGACGTAGCATGACGTCGTCGTAGCGCCCGTATGAAGACCCGCTCACGCCACCGTTCGCAATGATAAATCAGTCCGTTAAAATGGAATCGGAGAAGAAGAAAAACCCGTCAGAGAATAAACTGCTCCGTCTGTTCCATCAGTAGTGTGAACTAATTGTCCTGGCAGCTAATAAACAAGCTAACTGACATATGAACTGTAGCTAGCTTCAAGAGCTAATTGATTAAATAACGTACACGTACAAGCGAACATGTTAGTGGTTTTTCTGACTCAACTAGTTACAATAATTCTCTTTAGCCTTGCAAGTATAGTCCCGATATCCCAAACCTGTAGCACCATCTGTTTCACAAGGATGGGTGGACGGACGTTGACGGACGTGGGGATCACGGGAAGGAAATGAGTGCCGAGTGCGACAGACTCTGTCTCCTAGAAATGGATTACGTTACGAGCCGACTTTTCTTTAAAGAACAAAGCACTGGCTGCTTTTATTAATGGAAACAGAGTCGCTGCTGGTGGTGGAGGAGGACTGTGATACGACAGACCAGGTTCACATCTGGAGTCCCGTCAACAGCAGCTCTTCGGTTAGTGAAAGATGGTGGTTTTGGTTCGACGTAAATAAACAGGATTTAACCAGATCAGGACGTTTCCCTGTGAGAGTCTGAACAGAACCAGGAAACAGTTTATACTGTAGAATAGAAAACTTGATCTGGTCGCAATTATGTTTCCTGTAAAACACGTTTGCTGTTGCAGGTTTGCTGAATATAAACGTAGTTTCGAGGGTCTGAAGGTTTCTTGTCTTATCTGGAGTCGTGTGTTTTAATCTTTTCTTCTTCCCGCGTTGAGTCTGACGACTTCTGTGTTTGGCGACGAGAACCAACAGGTGGATCACTCCTTCGTTTACAGCTGCAAAACACGGAAATGAGGAATGGTGTTGTTAGTCGCGTCGGGCGGTACAGTGAAGTCCACGCCGATCACCTCCGTACGTCACCCCAAGGTCGTAAAAGATGGCGAGCTCTGATTGGTCGGGGTCTGACATGACGTTAGGAGTATTTATGACTCTGTTGTCACCTGGTTGAAACATTGCGGTCCGATCTGAGCGTGAGGAGTTCGAGCTTCTTGTTGGATAAACCGTAACCGTAGTAACCAAAATGTTCACGACACTGTTTAGACAAAAAGGTGCTTGAGGAACTTTTGGAGGTTCTTCGATTTGAAACAGTGGAGGAACCTCTGAAGGTGCTTTGAGGAACCTTCAAGAAAAGGTTCTTAGAGGAACTCGCTCTTACTTGAGGAACCTTTTGAAGCTCCATGAAGAACCTTTTATAGAGGTGCTGTAATAATAATAATAATAATAATAATATAAATGATGATGATGGAACAGTAAGGTTTTATTGATGTATTGATCACATATCAAATACAGAATTTTTAATATTCAAAAATAAATAAATAGAAAACTCAGTGAATATGTTAAGGGGGGGGGGGCATTTTAGAAGGTGACACACTTCCTGTGGTTCATCAGTTCAGGTCTCTGATTGTCGGCAGCAGCTTCATGTGAAAAACTGAACATTTGATATGAAAAGTGTCAGAGGTCAGAGGTCGTGACTTTCTCGTTTGTGTGGAGAGACGCTTCGATTCTTCGGTTTAAATAAAATATGAACAAAGATGAAACTATTTTATTGTTGAGCTCATTTACACTCGGAGTCTGAGACGCAGGGAGAGAGTTCCACGTTTCCTGTCGCTCTGCTCATATAAAACATTTGTACTTAGCGCCAATAAAGATCATCTGAACTGAACTGAAGGGAATCTGGAGGAAAAAAGAAGAGGCAGTAAAAAAGAAAAGGGAGGGATGACGGAGAGAAAGAGAAACAGAAACGCTGAGGGTGGAGAGAGGGAAAACAGGAAAAAAAGAGAGAGAGAGAGTTTGAAGATGTGGATGGAGGGGAGAGAAAGAGGAGAAAGTGTGAGAGTGGAGGGACTGAGGGAGAAATAATTAGAGGGGGGAGAGAGACTATAGGAGATAAGAGAGAGAGAGAGAGAGGGGAGGGGAGAGGGCAAGTGAATGGAAGCACAGAGAGAGAGAGAGAGAGAGAGAGAGAGAGAGAGAGAGGGAGAGAGGGGCTCGTGCAGCAGCCGCTCCGGTAGTTTTGGCTCCGGAGACTCGCAGGACGCAGCGAACTGTCCCGGCTCCCCTCGATGGTTCACCGCAGCCCGGAGGAGGGACGAACCTTCCACCGCTGCCCGGAAATCAGCGCGCAGGAGCCGCACACACACTGACAGCAGTAAGCCTCTTCTGCGCTCCAACAACTTTCACATTAAAAACAAAAAATAAACAACATCTCGGGGAAACTCCGGAGCGTCTCTACCCGCCCACCGCTGCCTCTGCTCGGCCACGGACAACACGCCGGACCGCTGGTCTGACTTGGACTTACCCGGACTCATCTGTTTATTTATTCTGGTGAAACTTTTACTCACCGGCTGCTTCACATTGTAAACTGATCCAAAGTGTGCGCGCGCTTTTCTTGCTTTTATTTGGAGCGGGGTTTTTTTTTTGTTTTTTGTTTTTTTTGCGCGTAAAATCCGCGTTTAACAACAACCATCCGAGCCCGAGCCAGCGCAGCGGAGCGGGGCTGAGGCGCAGGGTCACCCCGGCTGGACTCACTTTATACTGAGCGCTTTATTGGCTCCAGAGTTTATTCACGTTTTATGACCCAGAGATGAAGTTTTACAGACGCTTTTACTCCCAGAAAGAGACTTTACTCTTTATTATTATAAAGTGTGCGAGAAAAAAAAGAAGAAGATGTAAAATACTTTAAGATGTGAGAATAAACTGACTCCTGCAGCCTCAGTGAGATGATGAGCATGAAAAGACGCAACATGATGCGTGTCGTGGCTTCATTAGTCGCTGAGCTGCCTGCACTCTTTTATTTTACTGCTTTTTATGAGAAAACTGGAGATTCATTTGTTCGTTTTTACCAGATGAGAAAAGAAACAACCTACAAAATCTCTGTTTGTCTTTAAATAGACGCAGAGTTGATGCTGAAGTTTCTCCTCAGCAGTGGAATCTGTATTTTCTCTTAAATCTGCAGCAGCCTGAAACACATCAGACTGAGTGTGAAACACCTGAAACATAAATTTACTGTTCACTGAGCTGCTGAGTCTCTGGTCTCTAATTATCACCGTAAATGATTCAGATTCAGATAAAAACTTCATTTATAAATCCAATAAAGATGAAAAAAACATGTTATTTTACAGGTAAAAAGAGGATTTCGTCTCTAAATGATCTTCATGTGTGAACAGGCTGGAACACTGTGTCCTTTTTCTACTCTTCACTCCACGCCTCAAACTAAATGTTACAGCAATTTACAGTTTAAAAAAAATTATAAGTATTTATCAAATCCATTTATTTAATTTTTTTTCATTATAATCCGCTGAAAGTCTAAAATAGAAAATGTGGATGAAACGTGGAGGATGAGGTTTAAAATAAACAGGTGAGGCTGAAACACTGAACATCAGGTGAAACAGAGGAATTCTGGGTTTTAATGTGTGAGAGTGAATTTAATACTTTGACATGGATTTAGTTTCTCAGACCTGAGTTCAGTTAAAGTGACATTAACGTTTCTGAGTGTGTTTTAAACCTAAAGTAAAACAACGTGTGTGTGTGTGTGTGTGTGTGTGTGTGTGTGTGTGTGTGTGTGTGTGTGTCCTCCACGTCCCCGTCCTGCTCTGACCACTGTCTCCGTGTGTGTTGATGCTGATGATTGACGCCTCGTCCTCTCGTGTCTCCTCCCAGCAGCTGGTGGGCAGCCATGTTGAAGCCGGGCGACCCGAGCGGCTCGGCCTTCCTCAAGGTGGACCCGTCCTACCTGCAGCACTGGCAGCAGCTCTTCCCTCAGGCGCAGCTGAAGGCTCCTCTGGCCCCGCCGCCGCCTCCACCTGACCGCCTCTCCATCCCCGTGGACAGCCTGCGCCAGTCCCGCCTGCACAGCCACCTCCTGGCCTCCGCACACTGCACCTCCTCGTCCTCCTCTTCCTCCTCTACGTCCTCCTCAGCAGCTTCGTCTTCAGCGGCGGCGGCGGCGGCAGCAGCAGCAGCAGCTCTCACCCCGTCCTCCTCCATCTCCATCTCTGCCTCCGCAGGGCTCTCCCAGCTGCCCGTGCCCCAGCAGATCGCTCTCTTCGGGCAGGCGCTGGCCCCGGTGTGTGCTGGGCCTGGAGGTCCTGGAGGAGGAGGAGGAGGGGGACCAGGAGGACCAGGAGGACCAGGAGATCTGGTGGTGGTCGTCCCCCCGGAGAACCAGCAGGGTCACAACCCAGCAGCGGGGCTCCTCCATCAGGCCAAAGAGCAGAGCTGTGGGGGGGTGGGGGTGGTGTCGTCCAGCGTGAAGAGCAGCAGCAGCGGAGGAGGCGGCGAGGAGGGCGGGAAAGGAGCAACGACGAGGTTCAAACTGACGTCGGAGGAGCTGGACTACTACCTGTACGGACAGCAGAGGATGGAGATCATCCCACTGAGCAACCACACGGGAGAGATCAACAACCGTACGTACACACACACACACACACACACACATACACACACACACACACACACACACACCTGTCACTGAGAGGTTGTGTTTTTGGTGATTCTACACCTTCATCTGAACGCTGATGACGGACACGTGGCGCTCCGTCAGAGTCAAACTCCACGATTTTCTCAGTGAGTCACAGATTGTGTGCGAGTCGCTCGACCTTTGACCCTCCGCTGTTTAATCTCTATTTTATTCCTCATCAGTTTCCATCACATTCCTGTAACTATAAACGAACAGTGTCTGTGCTGCGTTCAATCCTTCTGATGATCAATATTTACTTCACAGTCATTTAATCACTGCTGCTGATTATTTCTATAATATTTCTTTAATCTTTCTGCTGAAGCTCTGTGTGTGTGTGTGTGTGTGTGTGTGTGTGTGTGTGTGTGTGTGTGTGTGTGTGTGTGTTATTTTACTTTAATTAATCTCTTTTAGCGTTACTAAATTATTGTATAATTATCAGAAGAAAATTCCTCATTATATATAATTATATATGTAATATTTATAATTTCACAGGGAGATATTGAGACTCACTTGAACCTTTAATCCTGGTGTTACTGTATTTCTCAACACTGAATAAAATCCTACAGAAATATTAACTCTGCTTTTTAAAATATTTCTTTAATGTAAATTTATTCAAAACTCTGCAAATTTAGTGTCAGGCCTTAATTTAATTTAATTGCAGCTAAAAATTGATTCAAAATCATTGATGACATAAAAAAATAAGATAAAGTAGGTGAGAAATTAATTAATGATAATTAAAGTTGATTATTTCCGCTTTTAAATAATTTAGTTATCTAATTTAAATTAGTGATACATTTTAAAATTTAAAGTATAACAGATTTATTTAGTAAATAAAATGAATTAAACCTGTTTATGAAACTCTTTATTAAACAAATAAATATTTTCCTTTATCAGCTGGTTTGAAAAGACGTCATGACGCCGTGTGTGACGTGTTACAGTTGGTTTGACAGCTGCTGTGTTGGACAGTAGGAGCGGGGGGGGGGGGGGGGGGTCAGAGGTCAGAGGTCAGCAGCCTGGTCGGAGTTCAGACCAGGTCCGAGTTAAAGTTCATCAGACTTCATTCACACTTTTATAGAAATGAGAGATGTTGTTTTATCTGCACCTGTCCGTCCTCTCTGTCTGATTCCTGATGACGTATCAACGAATCTCCAATTAAAGCGATCGATTAATTACATATTAGTTTTATTTCAGGAGTTTTTCTAAAGCTCAGGAGCAAAAAATCAAACGCTCATCAGAAGCGTTTAAACAGACAGAAGCGTTTTTATCTTTATGTTAAAATCTTTTTTTTTAAATCAACTTTTATAGTTAAATTATTATTTTAACAGATTTTCCTGCTGAAATTTTTCCTTCAGTTTTTTTTTTTTAAAGCGGAAAAATACATTTTTACTGCCCGTGAACTCCTTTATAACTTTGATTTCTACTGTCTGTGTGTGTGTGTGTGTGTGTGTGTGTGTGTGTGTGTGTGTGTGGACAGATATTGACAGAGCGCCGTCATGCATAACACACACACACACACACACACACACACACACACACACAGAGGTCGGGGTGTCCCGTCAGACGTTAAAACACACTCAGAGACTCAGCGGCCCTTTGCTCCGGTCTAACAACAGAGACACACACACACACAAGCGCGCGCGCCCTCTCGGTGTGAGCTTCTCCCCGTTTCCAGCTGCGCACGTGGAGACCAAAGTGAGGTCTCGTGCCTGACACTTTGGAGCGTTTTAAGGTGGAAATGTAGTTTTGAAGCCGCTCCTCCCTGCAGACAGAGGTCTCACTCTGCCTGTTACACGTTGACTCCGTTTGATTTTCATCCGGTAATAAACAAGATCTGAAGAGCGTTATTATTATAATAATAATATTATATTACAGTATATAATTATAAAACTTTCTCATAGTTATTCTGTAGATGAGAGTCTGATATTTAAACATTTATATTTGATACATTTTTCATTTGTTTATTATCAGGGTTTCATTAGAACAAATCTGTCCGTGTGTATTTTTGTTTTTACTGAGCGTCACAGTTCATTTATATTCTTTTATGTTCTTTTTAAATATTAATAAAACACCTATAATCCGTTTAAAGTCTCATATAAAGTGATTGTGTTGCAGGTTGAACTTGTTTTATCCTCCTCTCAGTGATGTGTTCAGACTCTAACGGCCTCTATTACAGATTTATCAGTCTATCAGCTTATTGATTGATGCTTTTCCTATAATATTTCTATAAGTACCTGAGGTTATTAGGTTGAGGTTATTAACGCGCCTGTAATAACGGCTCTTTATGACTTTAGTACTTCCTGTCCTGTCCCGGTTCCGTCCCGCCGGTGTCACGGAGCTTCTCCCGCTCCCACAATGCTCCTGTGATCGGTCCGTGTCCGTGTCCGTGTCCGCGCGCTCTGACATCTGCAGCGCAACTTTCAGAGTTCATCATCATCGCTGCTTCTGCTTTCAGGCGGCGATCCTAAACACCACTGTGTGTGTGTGTGTGTGTGTGTGTGTGTGTGTGTGTGTGTGTGTGTGTGTATTCCGCGGTGATAAAACGGACCATCAGCAGTAATCTGCGTCGATACGCGCCGGCAGGGCCGATGAGGGATGGAGGGACAAGCAGGAATTAATTGCCGTATATAGTTTTGTGTTTGTGGAAGAGAGAGAGAGAGGGAGGGGAAGGGTAGATGGGGGTCTGAGCGTGCGGGGTGAGGAAGGAGGACGGTGTGGGGGGGGGGGGGGGGGGGGATCGATCCACCGGCCACCGGCCCGCTATTTATCATCCCAACACGGCCGTATTGAGGTCTCTGGGGTGTGTGGGTGGGTGGGGTGGGGGTGTAGATAAAGCAGTCACACATACACACTCCCTCACGTGTCACCGTCTGACCTCGATTATTAATTACACCAATAATAATAATGATAGTGGTAATAATAATAATAATAACTATAATAATAAATGTCAAAAAGAATTTAAAAAAGTCACGTTTTTATCTGTTTTAATATATTGAATTAAATTATTTTCTATTTAAAATCATTCTCTAATTATTGTATTTTGACCATATAAAATATAAATTCACATTCAAAGATAAAGTAACAGAACAAGTCAGAGTTTCATTTAAATGTCCAGATGCAGTGAAAAACATTTCGTCTTAAATAAAATAATGTTTTTCTTGTTCCGACTGAAGTCACGTCTTTATATGAATTTATATATTTCTGTGAATTTCAAGGGTTTTTATGGCACAAGTCAGATATAAAAAGTTTTTAAAGACTGATTCTTCAGATCAGCTGAATAAATTAAACTCAAACTTAAATAAATTAAAATGAATTATAATTAGAAATAAACAATAAAATAAGATAAAACTCAGTATTCTGCACCTGAAGTCTGGACCCTGACGTCACGGTTAATCATTTCATCAAAGAGTCAAATCAAAAAATACAATGTTAAATTTTATGATTTTTTAAAAAGCACTCATGTGATTTAATATTTTATATCACACTTCTATAGATATTTGACGTGTGAGTGACAGAGTCAGGTTGACATGTCCTGACAGCACTCAATCCTACATTTCCCAGAATGCACTCGGGCAGTATCTCTTCATCAGAGCCACATCAGTCAAACTCCACCTTCAGTTTGTCGCGCAGATTTTTTCTGTTTTAAATTAGTTTCGTTTCAAAACAAGAGCTGAGATAAATATAATAATTATAATGATTAGAATTTTTCAGACTTGACTGAGAAAACTTTCTACAACAACATTTACAGACTAAATAAAACTACACTTGACTAGTGAACGGCCTCTGCGTCTAAACATTGTGTAGAGTTCGGTTCGTGGTGTAAGTCAGACTTTAAGAATCTTTAGTTTGGTTTTTGTTTCCAAACCACGACCAGATTCATGATGAAGTTATTGTCTGCTGTCGGTCTCTGACAGTTTGAATATCAGTGGAGACTTTACCTTTGTTTACAGATTAATAATAGAAACAATCAATAATCGAACTCCATGATGAAAATCTTCAGCAGCTGTTGTTTTCTTGTTTGATACCTTTGTGTCGTGGTCAGTGTAATAAGGGGAGAAAAAGAAAAAAATCTAAATCGAATCATTTGAAATAATAAACGTCTGGATTTTTATATTCAATAAATCTCGACGTTCCAGCAATAAAACGTCCAACAGGAAGTAATCAGACAGCTGGAACGTGTTCCGCTGTGATACAAGACACAGATCAATTCTTACAGTTTACATCTGGAGTCAACGTCAGCTGGCAGCTTCACTGTAATTTAATAAAGTCAGACACACACACACACACACACACACACACACAGCTCTGACCGCCTGTTTTCAGTCTGACCTCATGTCACACACAAGTGAACCCGCGTTTGACTCGTTTACACTTTTAAAACATTTTTTTTTTAAATCAAACGAGCAGATTTCATGTCACTTCCTGTTTGTGTGGCGGCTGCGCTCAGGCTCAGGTGACGGGACGAGTCGTTGTTGTTTGAGGTGAAACTAAAACACCGTGAGCAGTGAACATCTGCAGCTTCTTCTCTGCGCAGCACAGCGTCTCTGCTGAAAGAGACGTTTACAGACGGCCGGACCTTCTGCCTGCTGCCTCCACACCACGACGTGTCGTCTTCTTCTGCAGAAAAGTCCATTTTGGTTAAATGTTGAAAAATGAACTTGTTCTGTCTTGCTACTTGAAATTTGCTCCAACTTCTTCTCCTCTTCTCTCCCAAACTTTAAAAGCTGCGAAAGATAAACACGACCATAAATAAGATAAATGATACTTCAGCAGCTTCAGCCCACACTGTAGAATGTAGAATTTTTTCGTACGAATGGTTTATAATTAATTAGCTCGTCAACACTTTATAAATCAGCTGATACAACACATTAGATTAAAAGGGAAACAGTGAGCTGTTGTTTGCCAAATAGTGAGCAAACATGTATCTGTACTGTTCAGCCTCATATTCTC